TCTCATGAAGGTGCTTCCACAACCTCCCTAGGTAGTCTGTTTCATTCTCCTACTGTTCTTACAGTTAGGAAGTTTTTCTGACATACTGTAGTTTGAACCCATTGCCTCTTGTGCTGCCTTCTATGGAAAGAGAGAATAACTTTTCTCCATCTTTTTTAATGGCAGCCTTTCAAGTATTTGAAGACTGCTGTCATGTCCCCCCTTAATCTCGTCTTTTCCAAACTAAACATACCCAGTCCCTTCAGCCTTTGGTCATATGGCTTGCATTCTATCCCTTTGATTATCTTTGTTGCTCGCATCTGGATTATTTCCAAGTTTCTCTACATCCTTTCTATACATTGGTGGCCAAAATTGGATTCAGAATTCCAGCTGAGACCTAACCAGCACCAAGTAGAGTGGTACTATCGCCTCCCGTGATTTGCATGCCATGCCTATGTTAAGTATCAAAGGGGTAGCCGTGTTAGTCTGGATCTGTAAAAGCAGCAAAGAGTCCTGTGGCACCTTACAGACTAACAGGCGTATAGGAGCATGAGCTTTCGTGGGTGAATGCCCACTTCTTCGGATGCATCCAAAGAAGTGAGCATTCACCCACGAAAGCTCATGCTCCTATACGTCTGTTAGTCTGTAAGGTGCCACAGGACTCTATGCCTATGTTAATGCAACCTAAAATTGCATTTGCTTTTTTTGCAATCGTATTGCATTGTTGACTCATGTTGAGGTTATGATCCACCACGAATCCCAAATCCTTCTCAGTGTTGATGCAAAGCTAGTTATACCCTAATCCAGTGGCTCTCAAACTTTTTTTTACTGGTGACCCTTTCACATAGCAAGCCTCTGAGTGTGAGCTCTCCCCCTATAAATTAAAAACACTTTTTAAAATATATTTAACACCATTATAAATGCTGGAGGCGAAGCAGGGCTTGGGGTGGAGGCTGACAGCTCACACACCCCCATGTAATAACCTTGCAACCCCCTGAGAGGTCCCAATTGCCAGTTTGAGAACCCCTGCCCTAGTCTGTATTTGTGCATTTGGATTTTCTTCCCTCAGTGTAGCACCTTTCATTTGTCTTTGTTGAATTTCATTTTGTTTATAGCTCAGTTCTCCAATTTATCAAGATCTCTTTGAATTTTAGCTCTATCCTCAAAAGTGGACACAGGACAGATCCCTGTGGAACCCCCCTTGAGACTTCCCACCAATCTGACATCATTCTATTAATAGTTACTCTTTGATTGTGGTTTTTTAACCAATTATGTATCCTCTAATGGTAGTTCTGCTGAGCCCGTATTTCCCCATCTTACTTATCAGGATGTTATGTGAGACAGTGTCTCAAGCCTGGCTGAAGTCTGGGTATATTATGTCCACCACATTTCCCCCAATCCACCAAATAAGTTACCCTGTCCAAGAACTTCAGATTGTTGAATAGCTTGACATGGTTCACTATCAATTTAGCCATCCTTTATAGTTGATCTTTGATAGAGATGGGTGCCTCCAAGTAAAACAGTGATGATCTGAGAAGTGTTTGTGGCCTACTATGAACACAGTTGTGTTTTTGGATTAATTCTGTATATGACTCTGTTCACATGTACTGTGTATGACTAATCTGTATTTAAAATCCATTCTCACCTGCCATAGTTGTGGACTTCTTATGGATTGTGTCTCACCCTTATTTTTGAAACAAACCTCAAATATACACCTCTACCTCGATATAACGCTGTCCTTGGGAGCCAAAAAATCTTACCACATTATAGGTGAAACCACGTTATATTGAACTTGCTTTGATCCATCAGAGTGCGCGGCCCCGCCCCCCGCGGAGCACTGCTTTACCGCGTTACATCTGAATTTGTGTTATATCGGGTCGCGTTATAGCGAGGTAGAGGTATATGTACATTTTTAGATTCTTATTGAACTAGACTTACTGTACATCTTAATATTTTGAAAAGAAAGTGAGGAAAATGTACAATCCTGCAGATATTTTAATTTGGCACACGTGATCATATGCAATATTTTAGGTTTGTTTTTCAAAGAAAGGGCTAAATTGTGGCTTTTCTGCAAGCCCTGAGCTAGAGGCAGCAAGCAGGTAGTTGCATTACCCCAGGAGCAGACAAGGAATCTGGTTCTTCATTCCCCTCTTTCCCCCCACCCTTGCTTTTGGGAGAAGTATTTTTGCTGGTATGCCTAAAGCAAATTACTCCCTTGCTTAGGCACATTAGCTAGATCACAGTATGGCCCGGGATTATCATCCTCTTCTTTTGTTAACACCATCAGGTTTAAAGGATTGTTTTCCTTTTGTTAGATTTTCCAGGCAAAATCTGGAAAATGTAACTTTCATTAGTTTAGTAAACAATTTTTTTTGTTAGTTTTCATGTTGTGTATCTTCATTACCATTTCTCTTTGGGGTGTAAATTGTTTCAGACTTCTTGTCTTTTCCTCCAAACTATTGATACATAAAAATAGTTAGTATACTGTATTATTCAGTTATTGATCATTTATCTTTCTGATCACTACTCCAGGACCAAAAGGAGTACAGGTCCTGAAAGCCTCTCCCTCTTTACTGTAAAAGAGAATTACAGGAGAAGTATAAATATTAACTTTTCTTTAAGTTTTGTGAAAATATTGAGTATCGGGGTAGCCATGTTAATCTGTATCCACAAAAACATTAAATTCATCTGCAAATTTAACACTATTAATTTGGACTTGAATAGGGACTGGGAGTGGCTGGCTCATTACAAAAGCAGCTCTGCCTCTCCTGGAATTGACACCTCCTCATCTATTATTGGGAGTGGACTATATCCACCCTGATCGAATTGGCCCTGCCAACACTGGTTCTTCACTTGTGAGGCAACTCCCTTCTCTTCATGTGTCATTGTATAATTCCTGCATCTGTAATTTTCGCTCCGTGCATCTGAAGAAGTGTTTTTTACCCATGAATGCTTGTGCCCAAATAAATCTGTTCGTCTTTAAGGTGCCACCAAACTCCTTGTTGTTTTTGAAAATATTGAGACATTCTACTTAGTTGTTTGTTATTTATATTGCAGTAGTGCCTAAGAGCTCCAAACAGTACTGAGACTGCATTGTGTTAGGTATTGTACAAATGATTAACATTCAGCAGCAACTTTAAAAAAAAAAGTAATGAATTTAATAAGTGTGATAGCATCCATGCTTGAAAGTCAGGTTATTCTAATTACCCTCTTATCTTTATTCCCATTACCATCACTAAATTTAATTCTGGTATAATTTTTAACACTCGTCACTCAAACCTCTGAAGTTAAAGATTCATACTTCGTCATTCGAACGTATGGATTCCAAGCTTTCATTCAGATGGCATTGATTCTAGCTCAGAAATTTTTTGAGATGGGGGACAGTAAAATCAGGTTGAAATTGAAAGTGCAGGGGAAGTTTTTTGTTTTTGTCTTTTAGTTTTTTTAATCAGAAAGATTTGATTTTTGTTTGTGCTGTGTAATGGAATGCTTTTTGAAAAACTAGACTTTCAAATGGTGTATGCCATAGCATTTATTTTCAGCCATGCAGGTTTGTGGGATATTGATCCCTTAGATCGGTAGTGTGGGTTTATTTTAAGGTATTAGTCAAAGACTTAATCTAGAAAGTCTCAGACCTTGCACTAGCACAATTCACTCTCTAATTTATTTTTGTAATTGCCATTTAAACATTATCTGACTGCAAAAGACGGTTTTTCAACACAGTTTTAACTGAATTTTCTGAGGTTTAGTCATCCAGGACACTTGATGGGCCTTTATTAGCTGAGGTGCCATTTGTTGTTGGGAGGTAGAGAGTTTGTTTTATTATCAGAGATGTTGGGCATAACCATGTGAGGTGCTGTATGCTTCCTGTGAAGTTAAGAGCACACTCCGCTCCTATTGGAAAAGGCACTTCATAGGGCCTGCAAAGTATCTGGTTGTATGCATTTATGCTTGTTCTTGAGTATCTTAAGGTTTGTCTAGATGAACAGTTAGTGAGCGGCAAGTTAGAGTGTAATATATACAGTGTAAATATACAGTGCACTAGCATGCAGAGCATTAACATTGCATGTGGCCACTATTACTGTGCACTGCAAGTTCCCTAATATGCTTTGATCTATTCCACTTGGAAATAATTTTCATATGCACTAGGGAACTTTTAGTGTGCAATAACAGGGCCCATATGGACAGTTAGTATGCGGCTTGTGTGCTGTACATTCACACCCCAACTTGTCACTCACTGTTTATCAAGACAAGCCCTAATAATTTGCAGTTTTGTAGTAGCTAGAGAACCCATGGCTGGCTGTTTCTGATCCTGTGCTAGGCTTTGTTGCAGCAAAACACTTGTACATAAAGTAACTCACATGCTTATGAGTAGTCCCATTGAGTTCCATGAGAGCATACACATGCATGAAGTGACATATGTGTTTGCGGGATGAAGTCCCTGCTGTGTAAATTTGAAATTTGTAAATTTGAAAAATGATCTTAATATAAAAAAAATCTAATGCTGGAACTCAACTTGGTTGAAGCTTGGCTTTAAATTAACATCGTGTTTTTCTCTCTCACAATTAGCCTCTGACATTTACAGGGCCTCTACTTCTTGCTATCTGATGTACTTTTTACTCTTTGTCAGCAGTGCGCATTAGTCCACGTCAAAATTATATTTTTTTCACTTTCTAGAATGAAACACAGTAATAAAGTACAAGAAGAGTACTTAAGAAATGGCATGCTTTTTTTCTTTTCAAACATATGAGTTAATTATGTTTGTCCATCTTTTTCTGTTTCTTTCCTTTATGGGATGCATGGAGACTGTGTTGTAGACAGGCTTTCTGGTGAAAGAGGTGGAATAAAAGCTGAATCACAGTATATTGCCTTTAAATATATTTAAATTTGCTAATTGCATAATAATCTTCATCCCATTAATGTGGAAATTTGGCAAGGGCAATTGTTTGTCTTGTCTCTATGATTAACATAATTGTGTTTCAAAAGGATATATAATTTTGTTTGTGCTTCTCTTTGTTCAGGATGGATTAGATGCTTTGGTGTATGATTTGGATTTTCCTGCCTTAAGAAAAAACAAAAATATAGACAACTTTTTAAACAGATGTAAGTATTTTTAATTTTTTTATTATAATATTAAATAACAAGTTATAACTAAATATAAATGGTTATTAATCACTAGGATCTAGATTTTCAAAAGTTACAAGTTATTTTTGGTGCTTCATTTTTTTGGGGGCCAATCTTGAAATTTTAAAGGAGCCTGACTTTCAGAAAAGACTGAACACCCAGCCCTGAAAATCAAGCCCCTTCAAGGTGTTTCAAGTTGAGCACTCAAACTCATTAGTCACATTCAAAAATGTAGACCTACATCTTACTTTTTTCTATATTCTTCTCAGTCCTGAAGATTCACTTTCCCTATCAAAACTTGTGCCAGGGCAATCCTTGGGGCAGAAGTGGGGAGCCATCCTTGCCACTTTGCAGCTAGCAGGGGTACTACTAGCTATTTAAACAATCCTTTTGCTCCCCCTTCTTCCCACACCCAGCATACTAGATTCCCAGAAGTGAGGGACTGTATTCTGGTCTAGCACTTAGAATTTTAAGTAATGATAACATTAACTATTTACATAAGATTTGTTCAGTGCTCTGACGCTGTACTGAGTTTAAAAAAAGATCACTTGTGTGATAAATAAAACTCTTTATTCAAAATCAAATGTACAGTCATCACATTCTTAATATTTTGTATCATTCCTAAAATAATAAATCATAAATAATTGTCACAGCACAACATTACTAAAGCCATCACAGACAATATGATTTCAGTAAGCCACAAAGACTGTAGATTAGCAGGCTATTGGTACATGATATGTTTAGGTGGTTATTGTTGTATAAGGTTTCTTGCCTTAAACTACATGAGCAGCCTAAACCCTGTAGTTGATGTACTTCTTCTTTTTTTGGTATGCTTAGTGCTAGCTGTGCAGAATTCTGCTCTTTTTTTGCTGATTTAAATAATTTTTAGTGCACAAGAAAGAAGCAAATGAAATTTAGCTATGTTGTTTAAGCTTCATTAAAAACCCCAGTGTTTGTCTAGTGCAAAAGAACGAAATGAACAAGGAAATATTTTTTAGTCCTTTAAGGGAGCAGTGAAAAAAATCTACATAAAATTATGTATTATCTTTTGCAGCTGAAGGGCACCACTGTGTATTACTGCATTGTCGTTATGGTTAATATTGGCATTTGCTACGCTTTGAAAAGAACTTCAGAATTGTAAACTCTTAACTCATCTTGACCCTTTAAATGGAATGGCTTTTAAAGTAACCATAAGATTTTTCATAATTATGAATGCAGCCATTTTTTCACAGGAGTCATGGTTCTTCTTCAAGTGCTTGCTCATGTCTATTCCATTCTAGGTGTGTGCGTGCCCATGTGCACAGTTGTTGGAGACTTTTGCCTTAGTGGTATCCCTAAGGTCGGCTGTGGCACCCCTTGAGTGCTGCGCTCATGTGTCGGTATATTAGACGCCACCGACCTTATGTCCACTCAGTTCCTTCTTACTGCCCGCGACGGTTGGTTGGAGTGCCTTGTCGTGTCTTTAGCAAGAGCGTTAGCGGTTATTCATAGTCCTTTGTTCTATGTATTCTATACATAGTTAGTAGTTAGTAAGTTAGGGTACGTAGAGTCCTGGCTGGGACTTCGCCTCCGAGCGGGGCATCCCATGCTCACCCAGCTTCAAGCCATGTGCGTCATGCAGGAGGCCGATGACTATCAGTGGCTCCCAAGACAGCTGCCTGAAGTGTTTGTGGGAAGCCTAAAGAAAGGACAAGTGCCAAATTTGTAAGAACTTTTGTCCCTGTATACAGTGGGATATCCGCTTAAGGGCCCTCTTCCTGGAGGCTGCGCTCTGACCCATGTCGGAGCCCTCCACCGCAGAACCTACACTGAGTACTTTGGCTTCGGTGCGAAGCGCTTCACCCTGCACTGTTCCCCCTTGCTGGTGCCGAAGAAGCGCCAGAAGAAGAGGAGCCCCTTGGCACCAAAGGACAAGGGGTCTGTGGGCAAATGACCTTTGTTAGGCCATACTCCACCGAGAGGCTTCATGGGGATAGCGCTGAGGTTGGACCCCCGAGCCTGGCCAGGGATCCAACCCCGGGAAGGAGCGAAGGTCCCCAGCCTCTCCCAGGGCCGTTAGGACCCGAAGCTGTACCGGCGGCCAAAGAGGAAAGCAGACTGGCTCTGCAGGCGCCGCACCAAGTGACTGTCCTGGCTACGATTCCACCACCGAAGGGGAAGCCTATGGGAGTGCAGCCTCATAGGAGGGCAGAGCACCCCCGATCACCGGACTGCAGGTGCACATCCCTATCTCCGTGACCTTGGACCCTAGCACCGTATCCTAGCTCTCCAGCTAGACCACCCAGGTCTCCAACGCGCTCCCCACCTACTAGGCGCGGGACGCCAGAGCCGCAACACCATTCCCCATACTGCAAGTATTGGCGAACTTCCGGCCACAGGTCACCTAGTCTCCAGTCACTCTCTCCCAGGTGGTCTCCTAGTCGTCAGTCACTGTCCTGGAGGGGCTGCTCGGAATCACGGCACCAGTCCCGGTCTCCCTGGTACCACTCCTCTGGCAGACATCGCTACTTGCCTTTGCCTCAGCAGGCAAACCCTGGTTGCCACCGTGGTTGCCGGAGGGACAGTGATCCGGATCAGAACAAGAATTTAGCCCGGCACCCCAACAAGGGATTTCTTCTCCTACGACACCAACCACAGTGTCGTCGCAGCAGGGACAGTAGCTTACCCAGTGGCAGTACTGGAACCCATGGGGGGGTGCCGGTGATGCCAGTCACATATTCTCAGCCCTCCCTGGCTGCCTTGGATAAGCCAGTAATGGTGCCACCGCAGCCAGAGCATGGTACTGAGCCAGACGCGGCACCAGGGCACCGGACCCCAGCACCAAAGGAGCCTTCCCCAGACAAGGAGGGGGAATGCGCTCCTCTGGAACAGTCCTCATCATTGTGCCCTGATGACTTTAAGGAGCACCATGCCCTCCTTCAATGGGTGGCTGAGAACTTAAACCTCCTGGCTGAGGAGGCCAACGATCTCTTCAGTTTCATTTCGGCCCCTGCTCGGGTCGCATTGCCTGTATACCTGGGGGTCCTTAAAATTGCCAAGTCATTGTGGCAAACCCCCTCCTCTATTCCGCCGACTTCTAAGAAGGTGGAAAAGAAATACACTACATCCCTGCAAAGGGATTTGAATATCTCTATGCATCCCCCTGCGGCACCACTGGTTGTGTCCGCAGTAATGAAAGGGACAGTGAATGTCAAGTTAGCAGCATGCCGAAGAACAAAGAGGCCAAAAGACTTGATTTGTTTGGCAGAAAAGTTTATTTGACGGCTAGCCTACAATTCAGGGTCTCTAATCACCAGGTCTGCTGGGACGCTATAATTTCAATCTCTGGGACTCCCTGAATAAATTCAAAGAGGCCCTCCCACAAGATCATGCCCAGAAGTTTGCCACGCTGGTGGATGAAGGCACATTGGTCGCCGGGGGGGGGTCCTCCAAATGGCCTGGGTCGCCACTGCCTCGGCGGCCTGGGTGGTCGTATCTGTGGTGGCCATGAGACGCAGCTCTTGGCTGCAGTGCTCTGGATTGTCCCAAGAGATGCAGGCCACGATCCAAGACTTCCCTTTTGATGGCACTGGGCTCTTCTCTGAGCTTATGGACTCATGGCTACATTGCCTTAAAGACTCCTGAGCCACCCTCTGCTCCCTTGGCCTTCATCCCCCGCAACAGTCCAGGAAGCCTTTCTGTCCTTTGCCGCCTCCTCCCCCTCAGCAGTCTAGGTCCTGGGGAACTCCCAGAGCGGGCTCCTACAGGAGGAAGGATAAAGACAAGGGTCATAAGCAGTGATACCTGTCTTCTTCCCGCCTGGCTACATAACCTGACCCTCCCCGGATCCAGGGAGGCCAAAAGCAGTTGTTTTGAGAGCGTGCCTGAGGATGGCCAATCTGGTGGATCCGTCCCTCCCCTTCCTCAACCACCACCTCCCTTTCTGGTCGGTCTGGGCTCATATCACCTTGGATTGTTGGCTGCTTGATACAGTTTTGTCGGGCTATACCCTACAGTTTACCACCAACCACTCCTCTCACCCCTCTTCCCCGTCCCTCTTTAGGGACCCTTCTCACGAGCAACTCCTCGTTCAGAAGGTCAACAACCTCCTGCCCCTCGGCTGTGTAATAGTTTGAGGGATTAGGAATCAATAAATGAGGGCTAATGGTGCTACATGGCAAAGTACATAAAAATCAATGATTTAAAAAAAATCAGATTTTAAAAATGTAAATTTATTTTTCTTTTTAAAAATAATCCTGTTGAAATTTGAAATTATGACAACGTGTATTAAGGCCTAAAATTTACTATAATTTATTAAAATAATTTAAATTAAATAAATAAGCAGTAAGTTTGCTGCCAAAGTTTTAAAGCAAGTCATGCTATTAGACTGTTGGAAGTCAGTAGCTAAACACCTAAAACCAGAGTTTGCTGAAGTACTAAACTAACTTTTGACATCAGTAGCTTTTTTTGCAGGAACACAGAGGATATTTTCTTCTTTTTAATTTATTCAGCTGGTTCAGTTCAATGACTAGTTCATTCAAAGTTAAGAAATGGATATGGAGTTGAAAACAAGCATTGGTGCATTTTTCTCTTTCAATCTGCAAATAAAAACTAGATATGAGAGAATGAGATCTATTAGTTCTAAAATGTTGAAGGATATGTTGACTAGAAAAACTCTGTTTAAATCACTAGCTATAAATAATACTACTTTTATTGAATAAATCAGTTAGTTTTAAATGCAAAACTTGTTTTAATTAACTTTGCCTTACATGTCCAGCTCATTTAAGGTTAACATTAAAAAAATCAAGAAAACATTTAAATGTTGGTTTTGTGCATTTTAATGTAATTCCAATTTCTAGCCAAATAGAGCCTGACACAAATTATGAGTAAAAATGAATCATCCTCTAGTTAATAAGAAATGTTTCATTTACCATTTTCTATCATCGTAAAAAAAAGTAAAAATGATGATTGCAAACATGTGTTAAGCTATATAATTGCTT